CACGTCCTCCTGTACCACATCGCTACATCTCTTCTGTAGCCCGTGCCGCGCCCGTTTAGCCCCCTCTATCCGGCCGAACAAAAGCTGTTTGGGCATGCGGTGGCTGGGCATACGGGCTGCATGACCCAGCCAACGCAGCCTTGCCTGCCGGAGGAGCTCACCAATGGGATTTTGCCCAGATCTTTCAAGGATTTCTGAGCTCGCACAATCCAGCCTGGTTAAACCCAGGATGGATCGTAGTCAGGTCAGCCTAAATGTTTCTAACCTGCGCAGATGCTACATTAGGGGGGTCCACGTTTCGCAAGCGTAGAGAAGGGAGGGAATGACCGTGGCCGAGAAGAAGCTTCGTGCGGAGCGACAGATCAGGTAGCTTCCACACAGCGTTACGCAACCGATGAAAATATATTGCCGCTCGACTGATTCGGAGTGAGACCTCTGCTGTTAAACATACACACGCACACGTACACACATACAAATACATACACGTACACACACACGCGCACACGTACAAAGACATACACACGTACACGCATACACACGCATGTACACACGCACAAGTACACACGTGGTGATGGTGGTGATGTTGGTGGTGATGAAGATGGTGATGATGGTGGTGGTGATGGTGGTGGGGCAGGAGCACTCCTAGCGGCAGCTGCGGGAGCCACTATTCTCAAGTTAACCAGCGCGGGTTCAAGCAACGGCCTGGCTCTTCCTGAGCCCCCCATTACGCTGAACGTCAAACCCAGATGTTGCATATGGACACCTGGGGCAGTTTATCAGCAGCATTAGTTCAAGCACATCTCGACTGCTGCTGCTAAGACACTGAACGTCAAACCCAGACGTTGCATATGGACACCTGGGGCAGTTTATCAGCAGCATTAGTTCAAGCACATCTCGACTGCTGCTGCTGAGACACTGAACGTCAAACCCAGACGTTGCATATGGACACCTGGGGCAGTTTATCAGCAGCATTAGTTCAAGCACATCTCGACTGCTGCTGCTGAGACACTGAACGTCAAACCCAGACGTTGCATATGGACACCTAGGGCAGTTTATCAGCAGCATTAGGTCAAGCACATCTCGACTGCTGCTGCTGAGACACTGAACGTCAAACCCAGACGTTGCATATGGACACCTGGGGCAGTTTATCAGCAGCATTAGTTCAAGCACATCTCGACTGCTGCTGCTGAGACACTGAACGTCAAACCCAGACGTTGCATATGGACACCTGGGGCAGTTTATCAGCAGCATTAGTTCAAGCACATCTCGACTGCTGCTGCTGAGACACTGAACGTCAACCCCAGACGTTGCATATGGACACCTGGGGCAGTTTATCAGCTGCATTAGTTCAAGCACATCTCGACTGCTGCTGCTGAGACACTGAACGTCAAACCCAGACGTTGCATATGGACACCTGGGGCAGTTTATCAGCAGCATTAGTTCAAGCACATCTCGACTGCTGCTGCTGAGACACTGAACGTCAAACCCAGACGTTGCCGATAAACATCGGGGGTACTTCACCCCCAGACGCTGGGCCTGAACAGACGTGGGGCAAGTGCTGTTAGCGAGCACCGGCGGAGGCCGGAACGGCACACGAAGGGGTTGGGTGGCTCTCACCACGCCCGGCCGCCTTTGTCTTCCCAGTGGCGATGTTTACTACACACCACACCGGGTACTCATTTGAGGCTGAGTCGACCTTGGGGAGGCCTAGGAGCGGTTCAGATAATCGCCACTTGGTGGCCGTGAGCGGGAATCGAATTGGGGCCGCCGGGTTCGTAGCGCAGCGCCCCAACCGCGTTGCCACCTGTTGTTGTTGTCTTGGTGTGGTGTGGGACTGTTGTTGTTGTTGTCTTGGTGTGGTGTGGGATTGTTGTTGTTGTTGTCTTGGTGTGGTGTGGGATTGTTGTTGTTGTTGTCTTGGTGTGGTGTGGGACTGTTGTTGTTGTTGTCTTGGTGTGGTGTGGGACTGTTGTTGTTGTTGTCTTGGTGTGGTGTGGGACTGTTGTTGTTGTTGTCTTGGTGTGGTGTGGGACTGTTGTTGTTGTTGTTGTTGTCTTGGTGAGGTGTGGGACTGTTGTTGTTGTTGTTGTCTTGGTGTGGTGTGGGACTGTTGTTGTTGTTGTTGTGTGTCTTGGTGTGGTGTGGGACTGTTGTTGTTGTTGTCTTGGTGTGGTGTGGGACTGTTGTTGTTGCTGTCTGGTGTGGTGTGGGGACTGTTGTTTGTTGTTGTTCTGGTGTGGTGTGGGACTGTTGTTGTTGTTGTCTTGGTGTGGTGTGGGACTGTTTGTTGTTGTTGTTGTCTTGGTGTGTGTGGGACTGTTGTTGTTGTTGCTGTCTTGGTGTGGTGTGGGACTGTTGTTGTTGTCTTGGTGTGGTGTGGGACTGTTGTTGTTGTTGTCTTGGTTGGTGTGGGACTGTTGGTTGTTGTCTGGTGTGGTGTGGGACTGTTGTTGTTGTTGTCTTGGTGTGGTGTGGGACTGTTGTTGTTGTTGCTGTCTGGTGTGGTGTGGGACTGTTGTTGTTGTTGTCTTGGTGTGGTGTGGGACTGTTGTTGTTGTTGTTGTTGCTGTCTTGGTGTGGTGTGGGACTGTTGTTGTTGTTGTCTTGGTGTGGTGTGGGACTGTTGTTGTTGTTGCTGTCTTGGTGTGGTGTGGGACTGTTGTTGTTGTTGTCTTGGTGTGGTGTGGGACTGTTGTTGTTGTTGTTGTCTTGGTGTGGTGTGGGACTGTTGTTGTTGTTGTTGTCTTGGTGTGGTGTGGGACTGTTGTTGTTGTTGTTGTCTTGGTGTGGTGTGGGACTGTTGTTGTTGCTGTCTTGGTGTGGTGTGGGACTGTTGTTGTTGTTGTTGTCTTGGTGTGGTGTGGGACTGTTGTTGTTGTCTTGATAATAAAGGATTTTGGGTTGGATCGCATTAAGTATAAATGTGTCGCAACCCTCCACCAGCCGACACGGCCAATCAGCGTTCACTACTTTAGGCCACCGGGGTGTGTTGGAGGATGAGTCCACGACATTTACAATGTTTGATTAGTGCGATGTCATCATCGCTGAACCCAATAAGGCGGTCTAAGGGGCCGTCCATAAATGACGTCACGCACCTGGGGGGCGGGGGGGGGGGTCAGACATCTGTGACGATGTGTGACGAGGGCGGGGGGGTTTGAGAACTTCAAATAAATATAGACAACACGTTCTGCTTAATTGAATAGACTTTGTAATAAATGTTTTCTCCTACAACATCAGAGTGCAGCGCCACATTAAATACGCACTACAATGACAATAGTTTAAAGCGATTTGAAGCGTGTTTTATTTTTTGGGGGGTGGGGCAGAGCTTTGTGACGTCATATTTGAGGGGGGGGTCTGACTTTTTGTGACCTTTATTATGAATAATATTGGTCGCGAAAGCCTACGTTTTAAACTGTGTTCTTGGTGTAGTCTGGGACTCTCTGTGATACTTTGTGTGTCTCTGTGTGTCTTTGTGGGTCTCTGTGTGTCTCTGTGTGTCTATGTGGGTCTCTGTGTGTCTCTGTGAGTCTCTATGGGTCTCTGTGTGTCTCTGTGAGTCTCTGTGTCTCTGTGTGTCTCTGTGAGTCTCTGTGTGTCTCTGTGTGTCTCTGGATACTGTGTGTCTCTGTGGGTCTCTGTGTGTCTCTGTGGGTCTCTGTGTGACTCTGTGTGTCTCTGCGTGTCTCTGTGTCTCTGTGTGTCTCTGTGATACTGTGTGTCTCTGTGGGCCTCTGTGTGTCTCTACGTGTCTCTGTGTGTCTATGTGGGTCTCTGTGTGTGTCTCTGTGTGTCTATGTGGGTCTCTGTGTGTGTCTCTACGTGTCTCTGTGTGTCTCTGTGGGCCTCTGTGAGTCTCTGTGTGTCTCTGTGTGTCTATGTGGGTCTCTGTGTGTGTCTCTGTGTGTCTATGTGGGTCTCTGTGTGTCTCTGTGTGTCTCTACGTGTCTCTGTGTGTCTCTGTGAGTCTCTGTGTGTCTCGGAGTCTCTGTGTGTCTCTGTGTGTCTCTGTGTGTCTCTGTGAGTCTATGTGTGTCTCGGTGTGTCTCTACGTGTCTCTGTGTGTCTCTACGTGTCTCTGTGTGTCTATGTGGGTCTCTGTGTGTGTCTGTGAGTCTCTGTGTGTCTCTGTGTGTCTCTGTGTGTCTATGTGGGTCTCTGTGTGTGTCTCTGTGTCTCTGTGTGTCTATGTGGGTCTCTGTGTGTCTCTACGTGTCTCTGTGTGTCTCTGTGAGTCTCTGTGTGTCTCGGAGTCTCTGTGTGTCTCTGTGAGTCTATGTGTGTCTCGGTGTGTCTCTACGTGTCTCTGTGTGTCTCTGTGTGTCTCGGAGTCTCTGTGTCTATGTGCGTCTCTGTGTCTCTGTGTGTCTCTACGTGTCTCTGTGTGTCTATGTGGGTCTCTGTGTGTGTCTCTGTGAGTCTCTGTGTGTCTCGGAGTCTCTGTGTGTCTCTGTGTGTCTCGGAGTTTCTGTGAGTCTCTGTGTGTCTCTGTGTCTATGTGTGTCTATGTGGGTCTCTGTGTGTCTCTACGTGTCTCTGTGAGTCTCTGTGTGTCTCGGAGTCTCTGTGTGTCTCTGTGAGTCTCTGTGTGTCTCGGAGTCTCTGTGTGTCTCTGTGTGTCTCTGTGTGTCTATGCAAGTCTCTGTGTGTGACTCTGTGAGTCTCTGTGTGTCTCTGTGAGTCTCTGTGTGTCTCTACGTGTCTCTGTGTGTCTCTGTGAGTCTCTGTGTGTCTCGGAGTCTCTGTGTGTCTCTGTGTGTCTCTGTGAGTCTATGTGTGTCTCTGTGTGTCTCTGTGTGTCTCTACGTGTCTCTACGTGTCTCTGTGTGTCTCTACGTGTCTCTACGTGTCTCTGTGTGTCTCTGTGTGTTGACTGATGTGGTCCATAGTTTGGTTTGCAAGGCCACAGTGGCACCACCGCTCTGTCTCCACTAGGGGGGGCAGCGGGTGAGGCGGGGTACTAAGCCCCGCCCCTCGTCACCGCCACCACGTGACCGCCACCACGTGACCGCCATTTAAAGTCGCAGTTCAACTTCCCGCTGTAGCGTCGCAGGAGCTCCCCGCGAGCTCCACTCGCTCGTGTGGTGCGTGGAGAATCTCCCTCTCGTGTGTCTCTCTGTGTGTCTCTCTGTCTCTCTGTGTGTCTGTGTCTCTCGTGAAGACGACGAGGAGGAGACACGACAATGGTGAGTTGGAGACTGAGGCGGCCTACCTCGGCTAGGCTCGGAGTCGGCCTGGCGAGGCCTACTCCATGTCCCCTTGGAAGCCTTGGCTGTGGGCGGCTCCCAGCTAGGACAGTAGTGTAATGTGTGGTGTATAGTGTATAGTAGTGTAGTGTGTGGTGTAGTGTATAGTGGTGTAATGTGTGGTGTATAGTGGTGTAATGTGTGGTGTATAGTAGTGTAATGTGTGGTGTATAGTGGTGTAATGTGTGGTGTATAGTGGTGTAATGTGTGGTGTAGTGTATAGTGGTGTAATGTGTGGTGTAGTGTATAGTGGTGTAATGTGTAGTGTATAGTGGTGTAATGTGTAGTGTATAGTAGTGTAATGTGTGGTGTAGTGTATAGTGGTGTAATGTGTAGTGTATAGTGGTGTAATGTGTGGTGTATAGTGGTGTAATGTGTGGTGTAGTGTATAGTGGTGTAATGTGTAGTGTATAGTGGTGTAATGTGTAGTGTATAGTGGTGTAATGTGTAGTGTATAGTAGTGTAATGTGTAGTGTATAGTAGTGTAATGTGTAGTGTATAGTAGTGTAATGTGTGGTGTATAGTAGTGTAATGTGTGGTGTAGTGTATAGTGGTGTAATGTGTAGTGTATAGTGGTGTAATGTGTAGTGTATAGTGGTGTAATGTGTAGTGTATAGTGGTGTAATGTGTAGTGTATAGTGGTGTAATGTGTAGTGTATAGTGGTGTAATGTGTAGTGTATAGTGGTGTAATGTGTAGTGTATAGTAGTGTAATGTGTAGTGTATAGTGGTGTAATGTGTGGTGTAGTGTATAGTGGTGTAATGTGTAGTGTATAGTGGTGTAATGTGTGGTGTATAGTGTAGTGTATAGTAATGTGTGGTGTATAGTAGTGTAGTGTGTGGTGTATATTGTAGTGTATAGTGTAATGTGTGGTGTATAGTAGTGTAATGTGTGGTGTATAGTAGTGTAATGTGTGGTGTATAGTAGTGTAATGTGTGGTGTATAGTAGTGTAATGTGTAGTGTATAGTGTAGTGTATAGTAGTGTAATGTGTAGTGTATAGTGTAGTGTATAGTAGTGTAATGTGTAGTGTAATGTGTGGTGTGTAGTGTATAGTGGTGTAATGTGTAGTGTATAGTAGTATAATGTGTATAGTAGTGTAATGTGTGATGTATAGTAGTGTAATGTGTAGTGTATAGTGTAGTGTATAGTAGTGTAGTGTATAGTAGTGTAATGTGTAGTGTATTGTAGTGTAGTGTATAGTAGTGTAATGTGTAGTGTATTGTAGTGTAATGTGTGGTGTATTGTATAGTAGTGTAATGTGTGGTGTATTGTAGTGTGTGGTGTAGTGTATAGTAGTGTAGTGTGGTGTATTGTATAGTAGTGTAATGTGTGGTGTATTGTAGTGTGTGGTGTAGTGTATAGTAGTGTAGTGTGTGGTGTAGTGTATAGTAGTGTATAGTAGTATGGGGCCAATGATAAGAGATAGGAAACCGGTCCTGGGCATCCCTTAGGTCGACTCGGCCTCAAACGAGTACCTGATGCGGTGTGCAGTTAAACATCGTGGCGAGGGAGACAAAGGCGGCCGGGCGTGGTGCTGGCCACCCACCCCCTCGTGTGCCACAGTGCTGGCCTTCATAGGCACTGCTCCTCGCTAACAGCACTTGCCCCGACCGTCTGTTAAGGCTACACGGGGGATGTTTGTCTCTGTGTGTCCACAGGCGAATGTTCTGGCACAGGGAGTGGAGCTGATCCCAGACCAGCAGGGATTCTTGATGATCAGCGACGACGGGATGCTGGCGGTGAGAGACGCAGATGCCTACACGTTGGTGCCACCGCAGTGCTTGTGCAGGGCACCTGCTGGGTTTGTCACGGGACAAACCCAGCAGGTGCCATGGGTCGGCTGAGATGACCGGTTGAAGCACTGTCAGCTGTGCCAGGCTAGGTGCAGGAGGTCACGGGACAAACCCAGCAGGTGCCATGGGTCAGCTGAGATGACCGGCTGATGCACCGCCAACTGTGCCAGGCTAGGTGCAGGAGGTCACGGGACAAACCCAGCAGGTGCCATGGGTCGGCTGAGATGACCGGCTGATGCACCGCCAACTGTGCCAGGCTAGGTGCAGGAGGTCACGGGACAGACCCAGCAGGTTGCCGTGGGTTGTCCCACTGAGATGAGCGGCTGATGCACCGCCAGCTGTGCTCCCCACCGCTTTTGAGGCCTTGCGATGATTATTCACAGTCGATTTGGTGTTTGAACATCTTGTTATTGCTGGAAAGGGTGAACTTATTATTTTTGTGTCATCAGAGCTACGGGTCGCTGTTTCTTTATTTACCTCTGTGTCTCTATCTCTGGGTCTCTATCTCTATGGGTGTATATGTAACTGTGTGTCTCTATCTCTATGGGTGTCAATGTATCTCTGTGGGTCTCTGTCTCTGGATTTTTATGGGTCTCTGTGTGTCTATGTATCTCTAGATATCTGTGTCTCTATGTAGCTCTATCGGTCTCTGTGTGTCTCTATGTATCTCTGGGTCTGTGTGTCTCTATCTCTGTGTATCTGTGTATCTCTGTGGGTATCTATGTATCTCTATGGGTATTTGTGCTTGCGGAGCCCAAATGTGGTTTCAGACCAGGGTGGTTCTGCACAGATGCCATATTTTCTGTCCGTCTGCTACAGCGGAGGTGTACGAAATTCCAACAAGACCTACATCTCTGCTTTATTGACCTGGTCAAGGCCTATGATGCCATTAGTAGGCCTGGGCTCTGGGCTGTTCTTCGTGCTTTCGGAGTCCCTGACCCTCTGCTCACGATCATTAAGGACCTTCATGATGGTGAGCGGGCCCGGGTAAAACTACGTGGCCGGGAGTCGGAGCAATTCTCTGTTCACTTTGGGGTGCGACAGGGATGTCCTCTGGCTCCCACATTATTTAACATCTTTGACCACATAGTTCGAGCAGCTTTCCATGGCTGTACCGGAGGAATTTCCATCTGGTGCAGATACAATGGGAGGCTGATCGATGCCCGGGTGTGGTCGAGAGATGGCTCCCTATTGCTCAACCACGTTATGTATGCGGATGATCTGGTGATTGCTGCTCACTCAGAGGAGTTGAAGGCGCTGCTGCTGAACCTGGAGCTTGTCACTAAGAGGTGGGGCCTTACCAGCAGCCCCACCAAAACTAAGCCCCTGCCTCGGTATTTTGTGCCACCAAACACTCCGCCTTGGCTACCCATTTGTGATGGAGCAGTTGTGGAGAGAGTGCAGAGTTTCCCATACCTGGGCAGTGTGCTTTTGACCAGCTCTGGTTTGACAGTAGAGGTCTAACTCCGAATCAGTCGGGCGGCAATATCTTTTCATCGGTTGCGTAACGCTGTGTGGAAGCTACCTGGTCTGTCGCTCTGCACGAAGATTCGGGTCTTCTCGGCCACAGTCCTTTCCTCCCTTCTCTCTGCTTGTGAAAGGTTTGACTCCTCTGGTGGAACGTCTGTGCCTACGATCCATATTGGGTTTAAGCAGGCTTAATTGTGTGAGGAGCTTGCAAATCCTTGAAAGATCTGGACACATTCCCATCAGTGAGCTCCTCCGGTTGGCTGGGTCATGTTGCCCGCATGCCCAGCCACCGCATGCCTAAACAGCTTCTGTTTGGCCTAATAGAGGTGTAATAATTGACTCGACCACGAAGTCTGGCTTGGTGTCCTTTATTCGGTTCTTTCTCGTAACCCACACGGCTGTCCTTCTTTGAGGCTTTCCGCACTGCTCTGATACTGCTGTTACCCCCGTCACGCCAACAGCTCCGCTCTTGGTCTCCCGTTGTTCTCGTAACCTTCCAGCAGCCTCGCCGCTGTTACCCTCCCGCAGCCCCACTGGCTGCACTCGCTGCAGTTACTCTTCTCGTCGCTCTCGTAGCCTCTCACACACAGCCTCGCCGGCTGTGCTCACCGCAGCTCCTCAACCGACTCGCTGCAGTTACTCTTCTCGTCGCTCTCGTAGCCTCTCTCCAGCAGCCCCACTGCTGTCTTCTCCCGTAGCTCCGCTGGCTGCTCCCTTAGCTGGCCACCGCTGGCCGCCGGTGCCACTCTTCCTGGCTTCGCCCAACGTGGCCTTCCTCTTGTCCAGTCTCTCACTCTTCCCGTCTTCTTCCGGTCTCCTCCCTTAAGAACCTTAACCTTGCTCCCACGTCACCAAACTCCACCTCTCCGTGACGTCACATCCGGGAGGTCGCCCGCGCCCGCATTACAGAGGTGCTGAATGCGCACGAGTGGACTTGCCGACAACTGGTACCAGCGGTGTCAAGATCAGTCTCTGGAGGAGGCTCGCGAAGGATGCTGCTACTGGGCAGTTGGAGGCAGTAAACGGAGGGCGGAGGAGCGACCCTCAACGAGTGGAGCGCCGGGTGGCTAAAATGCAGCAAGTTTGCACAGTGGGGGGTACAGCTGGTGGTGTATCTACCGGTCATCTCGGTCGGCCAACCCATGGCACCTGGGTCTGTCCCGTGACCTGCTGTCAGCAAGGCCTGGCACAGGCGCCCTGGTGACATCACCGTCGCGCATTGGTATGGGTGTCTGTGTCTATGGGTGTCTGTGTGTCTCTATGGGTGTCTGTGTGTCTCTATGGGTGTCTGTGTGTCTCTATGGGTGTCTCTATGGGTGTCTGTGTGTCTCTATGGGTGTCTGTGTGTCTCTATGGGTGTCTGTGTGTCTCTATGGGTGTCTGTGTGTCTCTATGGGTGTCTACATCATTTTTTGGTGGCAACGCAGGCCACCCTTGCGAATGAGACCGCTATTCCGGTCACACAGCCGAACCAACTTGAACCCCGACTCCGTGTGTCGCCCCCACCCCCCTCTGCAGTCCTCGGGGGACCTGGACAACGACGAGCGTGTGGCCGGGGTGCTCATGGCGCTCGTCAGCACCGCCTCCAAGTTCCCAACCACCACCCAGGGCCAGCCGCCATTCCGGCGACTCACAGGTAGCAGCCGCCACACTGACACACAGCCTCCACACTGACCCACAGCCTCCTCACTGACCCACAGCCTCCACACTGACCCACAGCCTCCACACTGACCCACAGCCTCCACACTGACACACAGCCTCCACACTGACACACAGCCTCCACACTGACACAGCCGCCACACTGGCCCACAGCCTCCACACTGACACAGCCGCCACACTGGCCCACAGCCTCCACACTGACACAGCCGCCACACTGGCCCACAGCCTCCACACTGACACAGCCTCCACACTGACCCACAGCCTCCACACTGACCCACAGCCTCCACACTGACACAGCCTCCACACTGACACAGCCTCCACACTGACACAGCCTCCACACTGACCCACAGCCTCCACACTGGCCCACAGCCTCCACACTGACACAGCCTTTACACTGACACACAGTCTCCACACTGACCCACAGCCTCCACACTGACACAGTCTCCACACTGACACAGTCTCCACACTGACCCACAGCCTCCACACTGACCCACAGCCTCCACACTGACCCACAGCCTCCACACTGACACAGTCTCCACACTGACACAGTCTCCACACTGACACAGTCTCCACACTGACACACAGCCTCCACACTGACCCACAGCCTCCACACTGACCCACAGTCTCCACACTGACACAGTCTCCACACTGACACAGTCTCCACACTGACACAGCCTCCACACTGACACAGCCTCCACACTGACCCACAGCCTCCACACTGACCCACAGCCTCCACACTGACACAGTCTCCACACTGACACAGTCTCCACACTGACACAGCCTCCACACTGACACACAGCCGCCACACTGACCCACAGCCTCCACACTGACACAGCTTCCACACTGACACACAGCCGCCACACTGACACAGCCTCCACACTGACACAGCCTCCACACTGACACACAGCCTCCACACTGACCCACAGTCTCCACACTGACACAGCCTCCACACTGACACACAGTCTCCACACTGACACAGCCTCCACACTGACACACAGCCTCCACACTGACCCACAGTCTCCACACTGACACAGCCTCCACACTGACACAGCCTCCACACTGACACAGTCGCCACACTGACCCACAGTCTCCACACTGACACAGTCTCCACACTGACACACAGTCTCCACACTGACACAGCCGCCACACTGACCCACAGCCTCCACACTGACACACAGCCGCCACACTGACCCACAGCCGCCACACTGACCCACAGCCTCCACACTGACACAGCCTCCACACTGACACACAGCCGCCACACTGACACACAGTCTCCACACTGACACACAGCCGCCACACTGACACACAGTCTCCACACTGACACACAGTCGCCACACTGACACACAGCCGCCACACTGACACACAGTCCACACTGACACACAGCCTCCACACTGACACACAGCCGCCACACTGACACACAGTCTCCACACTGACACACAGTCGCCACACTGACACACAGCCGCCACACTGACACACAGTCCACACTGACACACAGCCTCCACACTGACACACAGCCGCCACACTGACACACAGCCGCCACACTGACACACAGTCTCCACACTGACACACAGTCTCCACACTGACACACAGCCTCCACACTGACACACAGTCTCCACACTGACACACAGCCGCCACACTGACACACAGCCTCCACACTGACACACAGCCGCCACACTGACACACAGTCTCCACACTGACACAGTCGCCACACTGACACACAGCCGCCACACTGACACACAGTCCACACTGACACACAGCCTCCACACTGACACACAGCCGCCACACTGACACACAGCCGCCACACTGACACACAGTCTCCACACTGACACACAGTCTCCACACTGACACACAGCCTCCACACTGACACACAGCCTCCACACTGACACAGTCTCCACACTGACACACAGCCTCCACACTGACACACAGCCTCCACACTGACACACAGTCTCCACACTGACACACAGCCTCCACACTGACACACAGCCGCCACACTGACACACAGTCTCCACACTGACACACAGCCTCCACACTGACACACAGCCGCCACACTGACACACAGCCGCCACACTGACACACAGTCTCCACACTGACACAGTCTCCACACTGACACAGCCTCCACACTGACACAGCCTCCACACTGACACACAGTCTCCACACTGACACAGCCTCCACACTGACACACAGTCTCCACACTGACACAGCCTCCACACTGACACAGTCTCCACACTGACACACAGTCTCCACACTGACACACAGTCTCCACACTGACACAGCCTCCACACTGACACAGTCTCCACACTGACACACAGTCTCCACACTGACACAGCCTCCACACTGACACAGTCTCCACACTGACACACAGTCTCCACACTGACACAGCCTCCACACTGACACAGTCTCCACACTGACACACAGTCTCCACACTGACACAGCCTCCACACTGACACAGTCTCCACACTGACACACAGTCTCCACACTGACACAGCCTCCAACACTGACACAGTCTCCACACTGACACACAGTCTCCACACTGACACAGCCTCCACACTGACACAGCCTCCACACTGACACAGCCTCCACACTGACACAGTCTCCACACTGACCCACAGTCTCCACACTGACACAGTCTCCACACTGACACAGCCTCCACACTGACACAGTCTCCACACTGACCCACAGTCTCCACACTGACACAGTCTCCACACTGACACAGTCTCCACACTGACACACAGTCTCCACACTGACACACAGCCTCCACACTGACACACAGTCTCCACACTGACACAGTCTCCACACTGACACACAGTCTCCACACTGACACAGTCTCCACACTGACACAGCCTCCACACTGACACAGTCTCCACACTGACCCAGTCTCCACACTGACCCACAGTCTCCACACTGACCCACAGTCTCCACACTGACACAGCCTCCACACTGACACAGTCTCCACACTGACCCACAGTCTCCACACTGACACAGTCTCCACACTGACACACAGTCTCCACACTGACACAGCCTCCACACTGACACAGCCTCCACACTGACACAGCCTCCACACTGACACAGCCTCGACACTGACACAGCCTCCACACTGACACAGCCTCCACACTGACACAGCCGCCACACTGACACAGCCTCCACACTGACACAGCCTCCACACTGACACAGCCTCCACACTGACACAGCCTCCACACTGACACAGTCTCCACACTGACACAGCCTCCACACTGACACACAGTCTCCACACTGACACACAGCCTCCACACTGACACAGCCTCCACACTGACACAGTCTCCACACTGACACAGTCTCCACACTGACAGCCTCCACACTGACACAGTCTCCACACTGACACAGCCTCCACACTGACACACAGTCTCCACACTGACACACAGCCTCCACACTGACACACAGCCTCAGGCGTCCTCTCCGAGTCTTCCCCTCTCTCCCTGAGTTGGCGCTTCGTTCTCTCTAAGGGAGTGAGCGAGAGCAGGTACCATGCCACAGTATGCACGGTACTACAAGTTAAAACTATTTACGCTCTTTAAAACGAGTATCCCTCTTCCACCTATCCCCTTCCCCCCCGTACCCCCCCCCCCCTGTACCCACCCCGTACCCCCCCCCGTACCCCACCCCCGTACCCCCCCCCCCCCACTCCCCAGTGGTGTTTGGGGAGTTCTCCTACGTGCTCACGACGTCCGCTGGCCGCGTATTCGTGGTGAAGCGGAGGAACGCGGCGCGGGAGCTCCCCACGGCCTAGAGACGCCAGGCCCTGGGGCTCTACGGTGACCACCACGGCCACGGGGCCCACCACTACAAGGCCACGGTGACCACCACCACCGCGCCCCACATGGCCAAGGGAGCCACTGCCTTGTACAGGCACACACGAACACGTGACACACGTGTAGACATGCACAAAAACACATTGGGACACACCACACACACTCACGTATGTAAATAAAAACCACGTGAAGAGGTTGTTATTGAGCTGATCGTGGCTAATTTCTTTCAATGGTTCTGGCCTCATGGTGCAGAGTGACCCACTTGGGCATTCAAGTCGTGTAAGACCAAGAACCCCCCCCCCCCCCTGTGTAAGCTTCACAGACTTAGGCCAAGTGCCGTTAGCTGGTAGCAGCAGCAGCCCCTATGAAGGCAGCACCGTGGCACAAGAGGGCGATGTTTACTGCTACACACCACTGCAGCAGGTGCTCATTTGAGGTTGAGTCGACCTAGGGGAGGCCTAGTTCAGAATCGTCTGCTTTAGATTCTTAACACAGCGAACAACCCCACACACACACAAACACAACCCCACACAAACACAACCCCACACACACACAATCACAACCCCACACACACACACACAACCCCACACACACACACACACAACCCCACACACACACACAAACAACCCCACACACACACACACACAACCCCACACACACACACAACCCCACACACACCTGCACCACACTTCAACAGAAAAGCAACTTACAAAGAGGGAGTGGGGGGGAGGCGCCCCCCCCCCCCACCCCCCCATGGTTTTGCGTTAATAAAATTTTTAATCAAACCTAGGCGACGTCTTGTTAAAAACCAACAACAACAAATAAACAAACTCCACTTGTCGTCCCCCCCCCCCCCCCCGCAAATTAGAAGCACGCAAACCACATTTATAACAGATCTGTAAGAAAGAGAGAGAGAAAAACTAGAAACCCCAAAACCAAGAGACTCAACTCTACGAAATGCACTTGAAAGAGAACTGATCCCACCACCACCACCCAACGACTCAGGCCCTGGGGAGAGACTCTCACACTCGCCACCACCGGGGGATCGAGCAGCAGCAGCAATAGCCAACAGCAGCAGCAGCAATAGCCAACAGCAGCAGCAGCAATAGCCAACAGCAGCAGCAGCAATAGCCAACAGCAGCAGCAGCAATAGCCAACAGCAGCAGCAGCAATAGCCAACAGCAGCAGCAGCAATAGCCAACAGCAGCAGCAGCAATAGCCAACAGCAGCCACAGAGTGACCACGCCAGGCCCGACCTTGTGCCTGGCCTGGCAATGCCACGGAGTGAGCGCGCCAGGCCAGGTGCACTGTGAGGCTGTGGCTGGCTGGTGGTGGCCATGGGCTGACCGACTGAGATGCACATCTGCTGTACCACCCTCCCCCCTGCAACTGTGCCAACTCGCTGCAGCAGCAGCAGCAGCAATGGCACCCCATGCACGCACATGCACACCTACACCTCAAACTAAGATCACTGCTCCAAGGGGCCCCGCATGGCGGCTTCTCAGTAGCAATGATGATGCACTTGGGAGAGGGGAAATGGAGGATTGTGATGATGTTTCATGATAAACGCTTCGCAAGACCAAGAAGATGGCAGTGCCGAGAGCAAAGTGAACATCTGACCCCTGCTGGACACCTGTGAAACTACTGGACATCTGAAGTCTTCTGGACATCTTGTGACCCACCCCCCACTGGACACCATCTGTGACAAAGCTTCATATCTCAGGATAAAGATTCTGATGCTGAACCACACCCAGTATGGGTTCTCCCCTGCCTCTCACTGGGGGGGGTTTCAGGTGGGTAGTGTCAGAGGCGATGGGTGTCAGGGCACAGGGGTTTGTAGTGTGCTGCAGCGGGCGATTTCATTCCGTAACATCATTATATTATTATATTCCTGCGTACGCGCACAGATCACGAGGAGGCTGCAGTGTCCCCGTTCCCCCAAACCGTTGCAGATTTGCCAGGCACGGGAAACGACGAGAAAAATAAACCAACATCCCGCAATAACAATAATAACCGTGTTAAAAAAACCCCGACATTATACCTCTTTTTTACCGAGGTGTGGACACCCCCCCACCCCCCCTGGGGGAACAGGGGGGGGGGGTCAGATGGTGATCCATGACCCCCCCCTCCGCCTGAAGGGCGAGCGTGCCAGCAGGTTGGCGGATGAGCGGGCGAGCGGGAGAGCCAGCGAGAGGGTGAGTGAGCAAGAGGGTGAGCCGGCGGGTGAGCGAGCAAATGGGCGAGTGAGCAGGCAAGCAAGAGGGTGAGCCGGCGGGTGAGCCGGCGGGTGAGCCGGCGGGTGAGCGAGCAAATGGGTGAGTGAGCAGGCAAGCAAGAGGGTGAGCCGGCGGGTGAGCGAGCGAATGGGTGAGTGAGCAGGCAAACGAGAGGGTGAGTGAGCGAGTGAGCGAATGGGTGAGTGAGCGGGTGAGCGAGCGAATGGGTGAGTGAGCAGGCAAGCGAGAGGGTGAGTGAGCGGGTGAGCGAGCAAATGGGCGAGTGAGCAGGTGAGTGAGCAAATGGGTGAGTTGAGCGGGTGAGCGAGCGAATGGATGAGTGAGCAGGCGAGTGAGCAAATGGGTGAGTGAGCGGGCAAGCAAGAGGGTGAGTGAGCGGGCAAGCGAGAGGGTGAGCGAGCGAATGGGGTGAGTGAGCAGGCAAGCAAGAGGGTGAGTGAGCAGGTGAGCGAGCAAATGGGTGAGTGAGCGGGCAGCAAGAGGGTGATGGAGCAGGTGAGCGAGCAAATGGGTGAGTGAGCGGGCAAGCAAGAGGGTGAGTGAGCGGGTGAGCGAGCAATGGGTGAGTGAGCGGGCAAGCAAGAGGGTGAGTGAGCAGGTGAGCGAGCAAATGGGTGAGTGAGCGGGCAAGCAAGAGGGTGAGTGAGCGAGCAAATGGGTGAGTGAGCGGGCAAGCAAGAGGGTGAGTGAGCGGGCAAGCGATGCGAATGGGTGAGTGAGCGGCAAGCGAGAGGGTGAGTCGGCGGGTGAGTGAGCGGGCAAGCAAGAGGGTGAGTGAGCGGGCAAGCGAGAGGGTGAGCGAGCGAATGGGTGAGCGGGCAAGCAAGAGGGTGAGTGAGCGGGTGAGTGAGCGGGCAAGCAAGAGGGTGAGTGAGCGGGCAAGCGAGAGGGTGAGCCGGCGGGTGAGCGAGCGAATGGGTGAGCGGGCAAGCAAGAGGGTGAGTGAGCGGGTGAGTGAGCGGGCAAGCAAGAGGGTGAGTGAGCGGCGAGCGAATGTCTCCACCGCCCAAGTATTGGATGCTGCTTGATCCGATGCAAGAGCTCCGCCCCGCCCACCGCAGGACGCGGCGACTCAAAGAGAATCCTCCCAACTCCCCACCCCCCCCTCCCCCCGGGGACAGGCAATGTACAACAACGCAGGAACCAGAGGCTCCGTTAACTCTCTCGGCGCCCCGAGACGCGTGGGCGAGGTGAACGACAGACGAACAGAGACTGGGTGGGTGCTACGAAAGGGGGCGGGGGGCTCAGGGTAATTAGTAGTACAGCGTTCGCGACTTGCAGCCACTCGTACAGCTCCACACACGCAGCGGAATGCACACGTTGCTCACACGTGCACACACAGCTGCACACACACAAGACGCACACAGGCCCTTGTACACACACTGACAAACCGACCGGCTAATGTGTACGCACGCGAACTGCACGCACGCACACCCTCGCACGCACACCCTCGCGCGCACACCCTCACGCGCACGCACACACACGTACCCCAAACCCCCACTGTGCACCTTTGTGCTGTGTGTGTGTGCGTGCACACCCACAATGGCTGCTTGTGCTTCTGAGTGTTGTGCAGGGAGTGTGTGTGTCAGAGCATGCGGGCAGCCAGGAGTGTGTGTCTACATGTGGGTGTGGGTGCGTGTGGGTATGGGTGGGTATGGGTGGGTATGGGTGGGTATGGGTGGGTATGGGTATGAATGAGTGTCTGCGTGCGAGTATGAGTGTGTGTGCGAGTATGAGTGTATGTGAGTGTGTGTGCGAGTATGAGTGTGTGGCCTGCATGTGTGCGAGTATGGGTAACAGTGTGTGTGCGCATGTGCCACCGCCTGTGCTAGCGATTGTTCTTGATGGCATCCTTGGCTGCCAGGATGAGGGGAGTAAGGCTGGCCAGGGGCTTGGCCAGCTTCAAAAATGGATGCTGCACACAGACACGCGCGCACAACACACACACGCACATTAATACACCAATATCAACACCCGCCCTTCGCCACTAATTGACGGTGATGGCACCACGGGGCATGTGCCAGGCTAGGTGCGGACTGTCCTTCCAATCCTACAGGAACCTGTCCTGTGGTCCATTAATACACATACACACCTTCATAATATACAGACATGAATACACAGACACATACACATAAACAGACAAAGATCCCCCGTATAGCCTTAACATTCTGTTGGGGCAAGTGCTGTTAGCGAGCACCTATGAAGGCTGGCACGGCACACGAGGGGGTGGGTGGTCAGCACCACGCCCGGCCGCCTTTGTCTCCCCTAGTGCCGATGTTTACTGCACACCGCACCAGGTACTCAGTTGAGGCTGAGGACACCTAGAGGAGGCCTGGTCCCGGTTCAGAAAGTCGTCACCGGTGTTGGTGGTGGCCGTGAGCGGGAATCGAACTCGGGTCTCTGCCCGGGTTCGTAGCACAGCGCTAACCACTGCCCCACCGCTCCCCGCCCCCCACAAGACGAAGGCAAAGACCCCCCCCCCCAATATAGCCTCTAACAGGCTGTTGGGGCAAGTGCTGTTAGCGATTATCAGCAACTATGAAGGCCGGCACTGTGGCACACGAGGGGTTTGTGGTTAAACCCCACACCACGGTCAACCTTTGTTGTTTAACCTTGCACACAAACCCCACCGGGCAACTGATTTGAGGCCGAGTGGACCTAGGGGAGGCCCCGGCGTCACCTGCAGGAGGTCGCGCGCAGAGCCGCGCTGGTCGACGTCCATCTCCAAGCAGCGGTTGAGGAAATCGCGGAACACGGGACTCAGCTTCTCCGGATTCTGGAGCTCTGGGGTGCCGTTGGTGGCGATGAGATACAGGGCCTACACGGCACGGCACGGACACGGCACAAAGGTCACCGCCTCTCGTAGCCTTCAACGAGACGGTCGGTGGGGGGTGCCGGCGCCTGTGAAGGCCGCCACGGCGCACGTGGGGGATGTGGGTGGGACGGCGTCACGCGCCCGGCCGCCTTTGTCTCTCCTCCCGCCGCCTGTGCTGATTATGTTTACACACGCACAGCGCTGGGTACACGTTCACCGCTCGCCCGCCCACCAACCCAGCCTCCCACCCACTCACCCACCCACCCAGTCTCCCACCCACTCACCAATCCACTCACCCACCAACCCAGCCTCTCACCCACCCACCAACCCAGCCACCCACCAACCCAGCCTCCCACCCACTCACCCACCCACCCACCATCCCAGCCACCCACTAACCCAGCCTCTCACCCACTCACCCACCCGCCCACCCGCCCGCACCCGCCCACCCACTCAGCCATCCTGAGCAGGTTCTCATTGAGGTATGGCGGCTCCCCCTCCACCATCTCGCTCGCCCACGCGCCCGCCTCACCCACGCGCCCGCTCGCCCCACCCACTCACCCTGAGCGGGTTCTCGTTGAGGTAGGGCGGCTCCCCCTCCACCATCTCGATGGCCATGATGCCCAGGCTCCAGACGTCCACCTTGGGCCCGTAGGCCTTGCGTGTCACCACCTCGGGCGCCATCCAGTAGGGGGTGCCCACCATGGTGCTACGCTTGCTCTGCTCCGGAGAGATCTGGGCGCAGAAGCCAAAGTCCGCTGCGGTGGGGGGTGGAGGAGATTTGGGGGGGCAGACACGGGGTGGAGGGGGGAGAGACACGAGGGGGGGGGGGTGAGTTCACTGCTGGCAGCCAGCGGAGGCAGAGTGGTTGGTGGGGAGGCGGCAGGGTGGTTGGTGGGGAGGCGGCAGGGTGGTTGGTGGGGAGGCGGCAGTGTGGTTGGTGGGGAGGCGGCAGGGTGGTTGGTGGGGAGGCGGCAGGGTGGTTGGTGGGGAGGCGGCAGGGTGGTTGGTGGGGAGGCGGCAGGGTGGTTGGTGGGGAGGCGGCAGGGTGGTTGGTGGGGAGGCGGCAGGGTGGTTGGTGGGGAGGCGGCAGGGTGGTTGGTGGGGAGGCGGCAGGGTGGTTGGTGGGGAGGTCTCCGTGTCCCACCAACCTCTCCTGGCCATGGGCCCTCCGTGTTCCTCCACCCCACGCCCCCATGGCTCCGTATCTCTGAGGAGCTATGCTCATCGTGTCCCCGTGTCCCCATGTCTCCGTGTCCCTATGTGCCTTGAGTCTCCCCGTGTCTCCCCGCATCTCCCCATGCGTCCCCGTGTCTCCCCGTGCGTCCCCGTGTCTCCCCGCGTCTCCCCGCGTCTCCCCGCGTCTCCCCATGTCTCCCCATGTCTCCCCGTGCGTCCCCGTGTCTCCCCGCATCTACCCGTGCGTCCCCGTGTCTCCCCATGTGTCCCCGTGGTTCCCCGTGGTTCCCCATGTCTCCCCGTGTCTCCCCGTGCGTCTCCGTGCGTCCCCGTGTGTGTCCCTCCCACCCCCGGGTCTCACTGAGTTTGACGGAGCCGTCCATGCCCAGCAGGACGTTGTCGCTCTTGATGTCCCTGTGGATGACGTGGTTGGCGTGCAGGAACTCCAGCGCCTGTAAGCACTGCACGTCGGCACACAAACGGAGGTGCCCCAGCACCACCCACGTGGCCTTTAGCGGACTGCCGGGACGAGCCGTGCTGGCGAGCAGCAGTACCAGCAGTAGCAGCAGCAGTAGCAGCAGTAGTAGCAGCAGCAGCAGTAGCAGCAGCAGTAGCAGCAGCAATAGCAGCAGCAATAGCAGCAGCAGTAGTAGTAGCAGCAGTAGCAGCAGTAGCAGCAGTAGCAGCAGCAGTAGTAGCAGCAGTATCAGTAGCAGCAGCAGCAGTAGTAGCAGCAGCAGCAGTAGTAGCAGCAGCAGTAGCAGCAGTAGCAGCAGCAATAGCAGCAGCAGTAGTAGTAGCAGCAGTAGCAGCAGTAGCAGCAGCAGCAGTAGCAGCAGCAGTAGTAGCAGCAGTATCAGTAGCAGCAGCAGTAGTAGCAGCAGTATCAGTAGCAGCAGCAGCAGTAGTAGCAGCAGCAGTAGTAGCAGCAGCAGCAGCAGTAGCAGCAGCAGTAGCAGCAGTAGGCCAGAGTGGTCTTGGTGCAGGCGAGTTGGGGGGGTGTGAGTGGGGGGGGCGAGTGGGGGGGGGTGTGGGGGGGTGTGGGTGGGGGGGGGTGAGTGGGTGGGTGTGGGTGGGGGGTGTGGGTGGGGGGGGCGAGTGTGGGGGCGTGGGTGGGGGGGGGTGTGAGTGGGTGGGTGGGGGTGTGGGTGGGTGGGGGTGTGGGTGGGGGGGGTGAGTGGGTGGGTGGGGGGGTGTGTGCGAGTGGGTGAGTGGGTGGGTGTGGGTGGGGGGACGAGTGGGTGGGGGTGAGTGAGGGGGGCGAGTGGGGCCGGTGGGTGTGGTTGGGTGGCCGGGGGGGGTGAGAGCGTCACCTCACGACACACGGCTGCGATCTGCCCCTCGTCCATGCACGTCTCCGTGACGACGTCGGTGAGCGAGCCACCCGCCAGGTACTCCATCACCACCCACAGCTCCTCGCCCACCAGGTAGCTGGGGGGTTACCCACCGTGACAGTCGCTCAACGCCACCACCACCACCACCACCACAACCACCACGGTAACCACGGTGACAGTCGCTCAACGCCACCACCACCACAACCACCACGGTAACCACGGTCACAGTCGCTCAACGCCACCACCACTACAACCATCACGGTAACCACGGTCACAGTCGCTCAACGCCACCACCACTACAACCATCACGGTAACCACGGTCACAGTCGCTCACAACACCACCACCACAACCACCACGGTAACCACGGAACCAGTCGCTCACAACACCACCACCACAACCACCACAACCACCACACCCACGGCTCCTCACCCACCACGGTACCAGTCACAATGCCGCCACCACCACCACACCCACAACAACCGCTGCACAACAACGACAACCGCAACGCAAGTGCCGCTTGCGATTGGCCAGCCATGGCGGAGACCCGGAATCCGATGAGCTGTGAAGTGATTGGTTTCCCTTTCCGGCTCACCTGTCCAGGTAGTTGACGACGTTGGGGTTTTTGTTGGCGCGCATCACCAGGATCTCGTTGATGATCAGCTCCTTCTTGGGCTGCTGCTGCAGGTTCATCTGCTTGATCGCCACCTGGCCGAGCGGGAAAAGGCAAAGGAGATAAAAAGGTCCCTCCCCCAACCTCGTGAGCCAGCGGCGATTCTCCCACGCCACCCTCCCCCCCCCCGTGACGAACCGGGGGATAGAAAACTACGAGAAAACTACAGCGGGTCATCGATCATCCGGCACCGCGCAATTATATCCGGGCAGCTTCCAACGTTATCCGGCTGCGGTCCCGGGCCGATCCGGCGGTCCCGCCGGAAACCTCCCCAAAGGCTGTAAACCCATCACCTTGTGAGCATGGCTCCGCTTGAGTTCAGTGTTAAATATCACATACACTACATGATACACTACACACAACTTAGTGACAATAACGCACGCGGATACATCGCCGCATGATGCGGAGTCTTCGAGATTGGAGCGGTAAGCACGGTACAGTCAAGTAGAGATATTTGTGTTTGTCTACTTCTGTTTATTTGTAGCTATATCATTCGGTAAACAATTTTAAAAACACTAACAACGCACGGGGGAGACACGGGGACGCACGGGGACGCACGGGGAGACACGGGGAGACACGGGGAGGCACGGGGAGGCACGGGGAGGCACGGGGAGGCACGGGGACACACGGGGACACACGGGGACACACGGGGACACACGGGGACACACGGGGACACACGGGGACACACGGGGACACACGGGGACACACGGGGAGGCACGGGGAGGCACGGGGAGGCACGGGGAGGCACAGGGACGCACGGGGAGACACGGGGAGACACGGGGAGGCACGGGGAGACACGGGGAGGCACGGGGAGGCACGGGGACACACGGGGAGACACGGGGAGACACGGGGAGACACGGGGAGACACGGGGAGACACGGGGAGACACGGGGAGACACGGGGAGACACGGGGAGACACGGGGAGGCACGGGGAGACACGGGGAGACACGGGGAGACACGGGGAGACACGGGGAGGCACGGGGAGACACGGGGAGGCACGGGGAGACACGCGAAGACACGGGGAGACACGGGGAGACACGGGGAGACACGGGGAGACACGGGGAGACACGGGGAGGCACGGGGAGACACGGAGATACGGTGAGGAGGGAACCGGAGAACCCGGGGACAATTCCACGCGACAACGGGGAGAGAGAAACCGCAAACTCCGAATACACAGACACAGAACACACGGAAACACAGCATACACGGACACACAGAGACTGTGAACACAGAATACACGGACACACACACGGACACACACACAGAATACACAGAACACACGGACACACACACAGAATACACACACAGAATACACGGACACACACACAGAACACACGGACACACAGGAGCAGCAGGTTAAGAAGTCTTGTCTCACCTCCTGTCCCGTAGACACGTCACACGCTGTGTAGACCGTCCCCGATGCACTGCACACAGAAAACAAAATACCCCGTGCAGCTCACACGGACTGTTGGGGGTCAAGTGCTATTAGCGAGCAGCTGCACAACGATTCAACGATGTTCCATCTTGCCAGATCAGGCCCACTCAGCTGTGTAGCTCAACAACGTGGCGGATATCACCATCACCACCATCGCGTGCAAGTTCATAGCAGTGGCCAAACACTCGAGGCGCGTGGTGACGTCGGATGTAAATGCGGGAGGACCCGGAGAGAGAGACGCAGACAGCAGACAGCAGCAGCAGACAGCAGCAGCAGACAGCAGCAGCAGCAGACAGCAGCAGCAGACAGCAGCAGCAGACAGCAGCAGCAGACAGCAGCAGCAGACAGCAGCAGCAGACAGCAGACAGCAGCAGCAGACAGCAGCAGCAGACAGCAGCAGCAGACAGCAGACAGCAGCAGCAGACAGCAGCAGCAGACAGCAGCAGCAGACAGCAGACAGCAGCAGCAGACAGCAGACAGCAGCAGCAGACAGCAGCAGACAGCAGCAGCAGACAGCAGCAGCAGACAGCAGCAGCAGACAGCAGCAGCAGACAGCAGCAGCAGCAGCAACAGCAGCAGCAGACAGCAGCAGCAGACAGCAGCAGCGGACAGCAGCAGCAGACAGCAGCAGACAGCAGCAGCAGCAGACAGCAGCAGCAGACAGCAGCAGCAGACAGCAGCAGACAGCAGCAGCAGACAGCAGCAGCAGACAGCAGCAGCAGACAGCAGACAGCAGCAGCAGACAGCAGCAGCAGACAGCAGCAGCAGACAGCAGCAGCAGACAGCAGCAGCAGACAGCAGACAGCAGACAGCAGCAGCAGACAGCAGCAGCAGACAGCAGCAGCAGACAGCAGCAGCAGACAGCAGACAGCAGCAGCAGACAGCAGCAGCAGCAGCGGACAGCAGCAGCAGCAGGTTGGGGGGGTGAGCACCACACCCAGCCACCTTTGTCTCCCCAATTCCTGTTGTATGCACGTTGCACCCGGTACTCATTTCAGGCCGAGTCAACCTAGGGAAGGCTCAGGGCCTATTGTACGTGGGATAGGAGTAGGGGTTATGTAAAAGGGGATAGGGGGTAGTGGGGGTAGGGGCTATTGTAGAGGGGATAGTGGTCGGGGATGGGTGGTGGTAGGGGTTGTTTACTGACCCCTGTCCGATCTTCTCGAACCGTGCGTATTTCTTCTTGGGGTCCCCGACGCTCACTATGCTGCCTGTGCACACACACAGACACACAGCACACACAGACATCACACACAGCACACACAACCATCACACACAGCACACAGCACACACAAACATCACACACAAACACACAGCACACGCACACAGCACACACAGACATCACACACAGCACACAGCACACACAAACATCACACACAAACACACAGCACACGCACGCAGCACACACAGACATCACACACAGCACACACAGACATCACACACACGCACGCAGCACACACAAACATCACACACAAACACACAGCACATGCACACAGCACACACAGACATCACACACAGCACACACAGACATCACACACACGCACGCAGCACACACAAACATCACACACAAACACACAGCACATGCACACAGCACACACAGACATCACACACAGCACACACAGACATCACACACACGCACGCAGCACACACAAACATCACACACAAACACACAGCACATGCACACACAGACATCACACACAGCACACAGACATGCACACACAGCACACACGCACGCAGCACACACAGACATCACACACAGCACACGCAGCACACAGCACACACAGACATCACACACAGCACACAGACATGCACACACGCACGCAGCACACACAAACATCACACACAGCACACAAACATCACACAGCACACACAGCATACAGAAACACACACACGAACACACAGGCACATCACACACAGCACACACAAACATCAAACAGCACACGACACACACAGACCACATACACACCACACGCAAACACCACACGTACGTGGTGGTGTGTAGTGGTGCGGTGGTGGTGGTGTGATGGTGGTGGTGGTTGTGCTGTGTGTAGTGGTGGTGGTGGTGGTGGTTGTGCTGTGTGTAGTGGTGGTGGTGTGATGGTGGTGGTGGTTGTGCTGTGTGTAGTGGTGGTGGTGGTTGTGCTGTGTGTAGTGGTGGTGGTGTGATGGTGGTGGTGGTTGTGCTGTGTGTAGTGGTGGTGGTGGTGTGTAGTGGTGCGGTGGTGGTGTGATGGTGGTGGTGGTTGTGCTGTGTGTAGTGGTGGTGGTGGTGGTGGTTGTGCTGTGTGTAGTGGTGGTGGTGTGATGGTGGTGGTGGTTGTGCTGTGTGTAGTGGTGGTGGTGGTTGTGCTGTGTGTAGTGGTGGTGGTGTGATGGTGGTGGTGGGTTGTGCTGTGTGTAGTGGTGGTGGTGTGATGGTGGTGGTGGTTGTGCTGTGTGTAGTGGTGGTGGTGGTGGTGGTTGTGCTGTGTGTAGTGGTGGTGGTGGTGCGTGGTGGTGGTTGTGCTGTGTGTAGTGGTGGTGGTGGTGGTGGTTGTGCTGTGTGTGGTGCGGTGGTGTGATGGTGGTGGTGGTTGTGCTGTGTGTAGTGGTGGTGGTGGTGGTTGTGCTGTGTGTAGTGGTGGTGGTGGTGGGTGTGCTGTGTGTAGTGGTGGTGGTGGTGGTGGTTGTGCTGTGTGTAGTGGTGGTGGTGGTGGTGGTTGTGCTGTGTGTAGTGGTGGTGGTGGTGGTGGTTGTGCTGTGTGTGGGCGGTGGTGTGGTGGTGGTGGTGGTTGTGCTGTGTGTAGTGGTGGTGGTGGTGGTGGTTGTGCTGTGTGTAGTGGTGGTGGTGGTGGTGGTGGTTGTGCTGTGTGTGGTGTGGTGGTGTGGTGGTGGTGGTGGTGGTGGTGGTTGTGCTGTGTGTGGTGCGGTGGTGTGATGGTGGTGGTGGTTGTGCTGTGTGTAGTGGTGGTGGTGGTGGTGGTTGTGCTGTGTGTAGTGGGGGGTGGTGGTGGTTGGCTGTGTGTGTGCGGTGGTGGTGATGGTGGTGGTGGTTGTGCTGTGTGTAGTGGTGGTGGTGTGGTGGTTGTGCTGTGTGTAGTGGTGGTGGTGGTGGTGGTTGTGCTGTGTGTAGTGGTGGTGGTGGTGGTGGTTGTGCTGTGTGTAGTGGTGGTGGTGGTGGTGGTTGTGCTGTGTGTAGTGGGGTGGTGGTGGTGGTTGTGCTGTGTGTAGTGGTGGTGGTGGTGGTGGTGCTGTGTGTAGTGGTGGTGGTGGTGGTTGTGCTGTGTGTAGTGGTGGTGGTGGTTGTGCTGTGTGTAGTGGTGGTGGTGGTGGTGGTTGTGCTGTGTGTAGTGGTGGTGGTGGTTGTGCTGTGTGTAGTGGTGGTGGTGGTGGTGGTTGTGCTGTGTGTAGTGGTGGTGGTGGTTGTGCTGTGTGTGGTGCGGTGGTGTGGTGGTGGTGGTGGTTGTGCTGTGTGTAGTGGTGGTGGTGGTGGTGGTTGTGCTGTGTGTGGTGCGGGTGGTGTGATAGTGGTGGTGGTTGTGCTGTGTGTAGTGGTGGTGGTGGTGGTGGTTGTGCTGTGTGCAGTGGTGGTGGTGGTGGTTGTTGCTGTGTGTAGTGGTGGTGGTGGTGGTGGTTGTGCTGTGTGTGGTGGTGGTGGTGGTTGTGCTGTGTGTAGTGGTGGTGGTTGTGCTGGTGTGTAGTGGTGGTGGTTGTGCTGTGTGCAGTGGTGGTGGTGGTGGTTGTGCTGTGTGTAGTGGTGGTGGTGGTTGTGCTGTGTGTAGTGGTGGTGGTGGTGGTTGTGCTGTGTGTAGTGGTGGTGGTGGTGTAGCGTGCCGTGCGTGGTGGTGGTGGTTGTGCTGTGTGTAGTGGTGGTGGTGGTGGTGGTTGTGCTGTGTGTAGTGGTGGTGGTGGTGGTGGTGTAGCGTGCCGTGCGTGGTGGTGGTGGTTGTGCTGTGTGTAGTGGTGGTGGTGGTGGTGTAGCGTGCCGTGCGTGGTGGTGGTGGTTGTGCTGTGTGTAGTGGTGGTGGTGGTTGTGCTGTGTGTAGTGGTGGTGGTGGTTGTGCTGTGTGTAGTGGTGGTGGTGGTGGTGGTTGTGCTGTGTGTAGTGGTGGTGGCGTGATGGTGGTGGTGGTTGTGCTGTGTGTAGTGGTGGTGGTTGTGCTGTGTGTAGTGGTGGTGGTGTGATGGTGGTGGTGGTTGTGCTGTGTGTAGTGGTGGTGGTGGTTGTGCTGTGTGTGGTGCGGTGGTGGTGGTTGTGCTGTGTGTAGTGGTGTGGTGGTTGTGTGTGGTAGTGTGTGGTGTTGTGCTGTGTGTAGTGGTGGTGGTGGTTGTGCTGTGTGTAGTGTGGTGGTGGTGGTGGTTGTGCTGTGTGTATGGTGGTGGTGGTGGTGGGTGCTGTGTGTAGTGGTGGTGGTGGTGGTGGTTGTGCTGTGTGTGGTGGTGGTGGTGGTTGTGCTGTGTGTAGTGGTGGTGGTTGTGCGTGTGTGGTGGTGGTGGTGCGTGGTGGTGGTGGTGGTTGTGCTGTGTGTAGTGGTGGTGGTGGTGGTGGTTGTGCTGTGTGTGGTGTGGTGTGTGGTGGTGGTGTGGTTGTGCTGTGTGTAGTGGTGGTGGTGGTGGTGGTTGTGCTGTGTGTGGTGCGGTGGTGTGGTGGTGGTGGTGGTTGTGCTGTGTGTAGTGGTGGTGGTGGTGTAGTGGTGCGTGGTGGTGGTGTGATGGTGGTGGTGGTTGTGCTGTGTGTAGTGGTGGTGGTGGTTGTGCTGTGTGTAGTGGTGGTGGTGGTTGTGCTGTGTGTGGTGGTGGTGGTGTAGCGTGGTGGTGGTGGTGGTGGTGTAGCGTGGTGGTGGTGGTATAGCGTGGTGGTGGTGGTGTAGCGTGGTGGTGGTGGTTGTGCTGTGTGTAGTGGTGGTGGTGGTGGTTGTGCTGTGTGTAGTGGTGGTGGTGGTGGTGGTTGTGCTGTGTGTGGTGCGGTGGTGTGATGGTGGTGGTGGTTGTGCTGTGTGTAGTGGTGGTGGTGGTGGTTGTGCTGTGTGTAGTGGTGGTGGTGGTGGTGGTTGTGCTGTGTGTAGTGGTGGTGGTGGTGGTGGTTGTGCTGTGTGTAGTGGTGGTGGTGGTGGTGGTTGTGCTGTGTGTAGTGGTGGTGGTGGTGGTTGTGCTGTGTGTAGTGGTGGTGGTTGTGCTGTGTGTAGTGGTGGTGGTGGTGGTGGTTGTGCTGTGTGTAGTGGTGGTGGTTGTGCTGTGTGTAGTGGTGGTGGTGGTTGTGCTGTGTGTAGTGGTGGTGGTGGTTGTGCTGTGTGTAGTGGTGGTGGTGGTGGTTGTGCTGTGTGTAGTGGTGGTGGTTGTGCTGTGTGTAGTGGTGGTGGTGGTGGTTGTGCTGTGTGTAGTGGTGGTGGTGGTGGTGTGCTGTGTGTAGTGGTGGGTGGTGGTGGTGGTTGTGCTGTGTGTGGTGCGGTGGTGTGATGGTGGTGGTGGTTGTGCTGTGTGTAGTGGTGGTGGTGGTGGTGGTTGTGCTGTGTGTAGTGGTGGTGGCGGTGGTGGTTGTGCTGTGTGTAGTGGTGGTGGTGGTGGTGGTTGTGCTGTGTGTAGTGGTGGTGGTGGTGGTGGTTGTGCTGTGTGTAGTGGTGGTGGTGGTGGTGGTTGTGCTGTGTGTAGTGGTGGTGGTGGTGGTTGTGCTGTGTGTAGTGTTGGTGGTTGTGCTGTGTGTAGTGGTGGTGGTGGTTGTGCTGTGTGTAGTGGTGGTGGTGGTTGTGCTGTGTGTAGTGGTGGGGTGGTGGTGGTGTGCTGTGTGTAGTGGTGGTGGTGTTGTGCTGTGTGTAGTGGTGGTGGTTGTGCTGGTGTAGTGGTGGTGGTGGTGGTTGTGCTTGTGTAGTTGGGGTGGTGGTGGTTGTGCTGTGTGTAGTGGTGGTGGTGGTGGTTGTGCTGTGTGTAGTGGTGGGGTGGTTGTGCTGTTGTGTGGTGGTGGTGGTGGTTGTTGTGGTGGTGGTTGTGCTGTGTGTAGTGGGTGGTGGGGTGGTGGTTGTGCTGTGTAGTGGTGGTGGTGGTTGTGCTGTGTGTAGTGGTGTGGTGGTGGTTGTGCTGTGTGTAGTGGTGGGGTTGTGCTGTGTGTAGTGGTGTGTGGTGTTGTGCTGTGTAGTGGTGGTGGTGGTTGTGCTGTGTGTAGTGGTGTGGTGGTGGTGTTTGCTGTGTGTAGTGGTGGTGGTGGTGGTGGTTGTGCTGTGTGTAGTGGTGTGGTGGTGTGTGCGTGGTGGTGGTTGTGCTGTGTGTAGTGGTGGTTGTGCTGTTGTAGTGGTGGTTGTGCTGTGTGTAGTGGTGGTGGTTGTGCTGTGTGTAGTGGTGGTGGTTGTGCTGTGTAGTGGTGTGGTGGTGTGTGCTGTGTGTAGTGGTGGTGGTTGTGCTGTGTGTAGTGGTGGTGGTGTGCTGTGTGTAGTGGTGGTGGTTGTGCTGTGTGTGGTGGTGGTGGTGGTGGTGGTGGTTGTGCTGTGTGTAGTGGTGGTGGTGGCGTACGAAGCTTCTCAAGGATCTCGTCGTCCGAATCTTGGCCTTCTTCTTGCTCTTGTCGCCCGCGACGCCGCCGTCGGGCCCCGGCTTGTCGGCGGTCCCCTTGTGGGGGGTCCCCCCCGAGCCGGCCTCCCCGCCGTGGTGGGGTGGGGGGCCCCCCGGGGACGGGACCCCCCCTCCGACGCCGACGCCGTCCTTGGCCGGCTGGGGTGGCCGCAGGGGCTCGATGACGGAGCGCGTGTACATCTGCACGCAGCCGTCATCATCGCGTGGAGCAACCGTCATCGCGTGGAGCAGCCGTCATGGCGTGCGGGGTGTCAACCCGAGCAACCGTGGGGGAGACCCCCACGAGCGAAGGGGAGAAACACTCTCCCCACCCCCCCTCCCCCTGCACCGCCGTCTCCTGCGCCCCGTGACCGCGTCCGCATCTCGGTCGGTCAACCCGCGGCACCTGGGTCAGTCCCGTGACCCCCTCCTCCTCCTGCACGTAGTAGCCTGGCACGGCGGCCAGCCCGTACGGCACCTGGGGCCCGAAAGGCTTCGATGGCCTCAACGTGCACCTGGCCTGGCACAGGCGCCGTGGCGACGTCACCGTCACTCGGTGGCGAATGGCGCGGGGTGTTGGTGTTGGTGTGAGGAGGAGGCTCGTGAAGGACGCTGCTGCTGCTACTACTGGGCAGCTGGAGGCAGTCGCCTTCCAGCAACAGCAGAGGGCGGAGGAGCGACGCTCACAACAACGAGCGGAGGCGCCAGGCAGATAAACAGTGGGGGGTACAGCTGGTGGTGCATCTACCGGTCATCTCAGTCAGCCAACCCATGGCACCTGCAGGGTCTGTCCCGTGACCTGCTGTCAGCGAGGCTTCGACACTTCACGTAGCCGAAAAGTGCATCTGGCCTGGCACAGGTGCCGTGGCGACGTCACCGTCACTCGGTGGCGAATGGCGAGTATTGGTATGGGTGTGTCTCTATGGGTTGACACAGTGGGGGGGCACAGGTGGTGCGTCGGCCACTCATCTGTCAATCCACGGCACCCGGGTCTGTCCCATGACCTTCACGTGGCCTCAACGTGCACCTAGCCTGGCACAGGCGCTTGGTGGCGCTGGTTGTGGTGTGTTTGTGAGCGAGACGTACCGACTTGGTGTGCTCTGGTCTCGGAGCGACGATCGGAGGCGGCGAGGCGTCGTCGTCATCGTCATCCTCTTCGGCCTCCGCACACCCCACGTCCACCTTCGTCACCTGCACAAAGACAAAGGTTCCCCGTGTAGCCTCGACAGACTGTTGGGGCAAGTGCCGTTAGCGACCAGCGTCTACGAACGCCGGCACGGCACACGGGGGGGGGGGGGGGGGGGGGGGGCGGCCAACTTTGTTTCTCGCTCTCTCCCCAGTGACGACGTTTGCTACACGACGCGCACAGCTACTCGTTTAGGCCGAGTCGACCTAGGGGAGGCCCAGGACCGGTTCGGATAATCGCCATCGCACCCGTGTGGTGGTTGGTGGTGGTGGTGGCCGTGAGCGGGAATCGAACTCGAGTCGTGGCCAGGTTTGTAGGGCGGCGTAGCGCTCGCCGCCACAATCCAGCGCTCGCCGCACAGAGAGCCGTGCGTGCACGCGGGAGCCACGGGGATGATCGTCTTGTTGATGACGACGACGACGACGACGACGATGACGACACACAGCGTCGTCCCCGTCGGTACTAGCCACCCCTCGCCTTCTCACAAACGCCCAGAACCCACGGACCGACAGCGCTGGTCGCTGGTGAGCCGGGGCTACTTGCCATCGCCCAAGCTCTGCAGGCCTCGACGTATCAAGACGTTTACAGCCAACGGATGGATGTTCATACGCGATGCGGGTAGCATCGTGGCGGTTGTAAAGCTGCCGCTGCTGATGATGATGGTGATGACGCTGCTGCTGATGATGATTTTAGAGCTGTAGCAGCTGCTGATAATTTTATAGCTGTAGCAGCTGCTGATGATGATTTTATAGCTGTAGCAGCTGCTGATGATGATTTTATAGCTGTAGCAGCTGCTGATGATGATTTTATAGCTGTAGCAGCTGCTGATGATGATTTTAGAGCTGTAGCAGCTGCTGATGATGATTTTAGAGCTGTAGCAGCTGCTGATGATGATTTTAGAGCTGTAGCAGCTGCTGATGATGATTTTAGAGCTGTAGCAGCTGCTGATGATGATTTTAGAGCTGTAGCAGCTGCTACTGATGATGATTTTAGAGCTGTAGCAGCTGCTGCTGATGATGATTTTATAGCTGTCGCAGCAGCAGCTGCTGATGATGATTTTAGAGCTGTAGCAGCTGCTGATGATGATTTTATAGCTGTAGCAGCTGCTGATGATGATGATTTTATAGCTGTAGCAGCAGCTGCTGATGTTGATTTTATAGCTGTAGCAGCTGCTGATGATGATTTTATAGCTGTCGCAGCTGCTGATGATGATTTTATAGCTGTAGCAGCTGCTGCTGATGATGATTTCTCGCCGATGATGGTAAGACCCCTCTCACCTGTGCGGTTCCTGTGTAAGCTTCAACTTTTTCTGCGAAATAAAAACGAAAAACCGAATGTCATCGATGCGTCCGAACGTTCTTACAAACCACCATCGCCACCGCCAGGACTGCCACCGTCACCGCCACAAAGACAAATAGCCCCCGTGTAACCTTCACAGACCGTTGGGGCAAGTGCTGAGCGCGAGCAGCAGCTACGAATGCCGGCACGGTGGCACACGAGGGGCTGGGTGGGATGACAGCACCAGGCCCGGCAGCCTTTGTCTCCCCAGTGGCGATGTTTACCGCACGCCGCTACAGCGGGTACTCGTTTGAGGCTGAGTCGAACTAGGGGAGGCCCAGGACCGGTTGAGATCATCGCTATCCCTGGTGGTGGTGGTGGTGAGCGGGAGTCCAACTCGGGTGGCTGCCGAGTTCGTAGCACAGCACAGTGCTCACCGCTGCACCACCGCTCCTCATTGTCACCACGATAACCAACACCACCTTCACCACTATAACCACCACCACTGCTAGTGTCACCACTATAACCACCACTGCTAGTGTCACCACTATAACCACCACTGCTAGTGTCACCACTATAACCACCACTGCTAGTGTCACCACTATAACCACCACTGCTAGTGTCACCACTATAACCACCACCACCACTGCTACTGTCACCACTATAACCACCACCACCACTGCTACTGTCACCACTATAACCACCACCACCACTGCTAGTGTCACCACTATAACCACCACCACCACTGCCACCACAAACACATTCCTGCGGAGGGAGCTGGTAGGAACGTCGGGTTGCTCGGTCAATGGCCTGCAGGGTCAACGGCGGCGTGGTGTATTCCGCAAATATGCCCGACTGTGAGGGCGGGCACAAGCCGGCGTGAGTAGGTGAAACGTTGAGTTTTTATAAGGGCACCACGGGGTGACCAGCCCCTCCCCACCCAGCCCCACCCCTCCCACCCCCCACCCAGCCCCTCTCCACCCTCCCCAACCCATCCAGCCCCTCCCCACCCTTCCCACCCAGCCCCTCCCCTCTCCACCCAGCCCCACCCCTCCCACAATAATCCCCTGTGGGCTGGTGTAACCAGGAGGTTCCTACCAGTATAACCACCACCACCACTGTCACCACCACTGTCACCACTATAACCTCCACCACCACTGTCACCACCACTGTCACCACTATAACCACCACCACCACTGTCACCACCACTGTCACCACTATAACCACCACCACCACTGTCACCACCACTGTCACCACTATAACCACCACCACCACTGTCACCACCACTGTCACCACTATAACCACCACCACCACTGTCACCACCACTGTCACCACTATAACCTCCACCACCACTGTCACCACCACTGTCACCACTATAACCACCACCACTGCTCGTGTCACCACTATCACCTCCACCACCACCAGGACTGCCACCGCAAGCACCACAACGCTCCCAGCCTTGCCTCGACCACCAACTCGAGACACTCAACAACAACACACGCACGCAACAAAGGTGGCGGCCGCTTCTCAAACGTGAAGAAGCAAGACTCCGCTCCTCCGCGTGCACGGTGTCACGAGACCCGCCCCCCCGCCCTCACCGCGTCATTGGCGCTACACTCCCAGCCTTGCCTCGACCACTAAGCTCGCGGGCGTGCGGGGACGCGACGGGGCGCTCACCCAGGACGGGCGTGAAGCTCATGTACTTCTGGTTGACGCTCTCCTTGGAGTCGTAGAACTTGAGCACGTCCAGCACGGCCTGCGGGTTCTTCTTCTGCTCCGACTTGCTGATGTTGGACGTCGACAGGAGGCGCAGCCATTGCTCGGGCATCCCCTGCTCCCCGCAGACGCACGCACGGGCACGCACGCGTACAGTCGCACGGACACGCACGCGTACAGTCGCACGCACGGACACGCACGCGTACAGACGCACGCACGGACACGCACGCGTACAGACGCACGCACGGACACGCACGCGTACAGACGCACGCACGGACACGCACGCGTACAGTCGCACGCACGGACACGCACGCGTACAGACGCACGCACGGACACGCACGCGTACAGACGCACGCACGGACACGCACGCGTACAGACGCACGCACGGACACGCACGCGTACAGACGCACGCACGGACACGCACGCGTACAGTCGCACGCACGGACACGCACGCGTACAGTCGCACGCACGGACACGCACGCGTACAGTCGCACGCACGGACACGCACGCGTACAGTCGCACGCACGGACACGCACGTGTACAGACGCACGCACGGACACGCACGCGTACAGTCGCACGCACGGACACGCACGCGTACAGATGCACGCACGGACACGCACGTGTACAGACGCACGCACGGACACGCACGCGTACAGTCGCACGCATGGACACGCACGTGTACAGACGCACGCACGGACACGCACGCGTACAGTCGCACGCACGGACACGCACGTGTACAGACGCACGCACGGACACGCACGCGTACAGTCGCACGCACGGACACGCACGTGTACAGACGCACGCACGGACACGCACGTGTACAGGCACACGCACGGGCACACACGGACACGCACACGCAGATGTACAGGCACGTACATCTGCAGGTACGTACAGGCACGCACGAGTACAGGCACGGACATACACGCCAGTACAGGCAGACACAGGCACGTGCACACCACATGCGGACATGCACGCACAGGCACGAGCGTACACACATGCAGGCACGCACGCGTACATGCATGTGTGCACACACGCACGTAGAGCAACGTGGTGGTGGTAAACGTGGTGGTGGTAAGTGTTGTGTTGGTGGTAAGGGTGGTGTAGGTGAGAGTTGTAGGGGTGGTGTTGGTGGTAAACGTGGTGGTGGTGAAGCGGCTGGCGGTGGTGGTGAGTGCGGTGGTGGTGAGTGCGGTGGTGGTGAGCGTGGTGGTGGTGAGCGCGGTGGTGGTGAGCGTGAAGGTGGTGAGCGTGGAGGTGGTGACCGCGGAGGTGGTGAGTGCGGTGGTGGTGAGTGCGGTGGTGGTGAGCGTGGAGGTGGTGAGTGTGGTGATGGTGAGTGCGGTGGTGAGATGGTGGTGAGTGCGGTGGTGGTGAGTGTGGTGATGGTAAGTGCGGTGGTGAGGTGGTGGTGAGTGCGGTGGTGGTGAGCGGTTACCGTGAACTCCCCCGTGACGGCATCAAAGCCGACGTGCACCGTGTGCTCAAAGTCGGAGGGCAGCGAAATCTCGGGGCGCTCCTTCTCTTTCTTCTTGTTGGCTACGCACACACACAGCGTCACACACACAGCGTCACACACACACAGCCTTACACACACACACAGCGTCACACACACAGCGTCACACACACACAGCGTCACACACACACAGCGTCACACACACAGCGCCTTACACACACACACAGCGTCACACACAACAGCGTCACACACACAGCGTCAACACACAGCGTCACACACACACACAGCGTCACACACACACACAGCGTCACACACACAGCGTCACACACACAGCGTCACACACACAGCGTCACACACACAGCGTCACACACACAGCGTCACACACACAGCGTCACACACACAGCGTCACACACACACACAGCATCACACACACACACAGCGTCACACACACAGCGTCACACACACAGCGTCACACACAGCGTCACACACACAGCGTCACACACACAGCGTCACACACACAGCGTCACACACACACACACAGCGTCACACACACAGCGTCACACACACAGCGTCACACACACACACAGCGTCACACACACACACAGCGTCACACACACACAGCGTCACACACACAGGTCACACACAGCGTCGCACACACACACAGCGTCGCACAACACACACAGCGTCGCACACACACACAGCGTCGCACACACACACAGCGTCGCACACACACACACAGCGTCACACACACACACACAGCGTCACCACACCACACAGCGTCACACACCCACACAGCGTCACACACACAGCGTCACACACCCACACAGCGTCACACACACACACAGCGTCACACACACACAGCGTCACACACACAGCGTCACACACACAGCGTCACACACACAGCGTCACACACACACACAGCGTCACACACACACACAGCGTCACACACACACACAGCGTCACACACACACACAGCGTCACACACACACAGCGTCACACACACAGCGTCACACACACAGCGACACAAACACACACCCAGCGTCACACACACACACACAGCGTCACAAACACACACAGCGTCACACACACACACAGCGACACACACACACAGCGTCACACACACAGCGTCACACACACACACACAGCGTCACACACACACAGCGTCACACACACACACAGCGTCACACACACACACAGCGTCACACACACACACAGCGTCACACACACACACAGGGTCACACACACAGCGTCACACACACACACAGCGTCACACACACAGCGACACACAGCGTCACACACCCACACACACAGCGTCTCACACACACACACAGCGACACACACAGCGTCACACACACAGCGTCGCACACACACACACAGCGACACACACACAGCGTCACAAACACACACACAGCGTCACACACACAGCAACACACACAGCGACACACAGCGTCACACACCCACACACACACACAGCGTCACACACCCACACACACAGCGTCTCGCACACACAGCGACACACACAGCGACACACACAGCGTCACACACACAGCGTCGCACACACACACACAGCGTCACACACACACAGCGACACAAACACACACACAGCGTCACACACACAGCAACACACACAGCGACACACAGCGTCACACACCCACACACACACACAGCGTCACACACCCACACACACAGCGTCACACACACAGCGACACACACAGCGTCGCACACACAGCGTCGCACACACACAGCGTCACACACACACAGCGACACACACACAGCGTCACAAACACACACACAGCGTCACACACACAGCAACACACACAGCGACACACAGCGTCACACACCCACACACACAGCGTCTCACACACACACACACAGCGACACACACAGCGTCACACACACAGCGTCGCACACACACACACAGCGTCACACACCCACACACACACACAGCGTCACACACAGCGTCACACACACACACACACAGCGTCACACACACACAGCGTCACACACACACAGCGTCACACACACACAGCGTCGCACACACAGCGTCGCACACACACACACAGCGTCACACACCCACACACACACAGCGTCACACACACACAGCGTCACACACACACAGCGTCACACACACACAGCGTCACACACACACAGCGTCACACACACAGAGTCACACACACACAGCGTCGCACACACACACACAGCGGCACACACCCACACACACAGCGTCACACACACACAGCATCACACACACACACACAGCATCACACACACACACACAGCGTCACACACACAGCGTCACACACACACAGCGTCGCACACACAGCGTCGCACACACACACACAGCGTCACACACCCACACACACAGCGTCACACACACACAGCGTCACACACACACAGCGTCACACACACACAGCGTCACACACACACAGCGTCACACACACACAGCGTCGCACACACACACACAGCGTCACACACCCACACACACACACAGCGTCACACACACACAGCGTCACACACACACAGCGTCACACACACAGCGTCGCACACACACACACACAGCGACACACACAGCGACACACACACACAGCGTCACACACACACTGCGTCACACACACACAGCGTCACACACACAGCGTCACACACACAGCGTCACACACACAGCGTCGCACACACAGCGTCACACACCCACACACAGACACAGCATCGCACACACAGCGTCGCACACACACACACAGCGTCACACACACACAGCGTCACACACACACAGCGTCACACACACACAGCGTCACACACACAGCGACACACACAGCGTCACAAACACACACACAGCGTCACACACACAGCGACACACAGCGTCACACACCCACACACACACACAGCATCACACACCCACACACACAGCGTCACACACACACAGCGTCACACACACACACAGCGTCACACACACACACACACACAGCGACACACACACAGCGTCACACACACAGCAACACATACAGCGACACACAGCGTCACACACCCACACACAGCGTCACACACACACACAGCGACACACACAGCGTCGCACACAGCGTCGCACACACAGCGTCACACACACAGCGTCGCACACACACAGCGTCACACACACAGCATCACACACACAGCGTCACACCCACACACAGCGTCACACACACAGCGTCACACACACACAGCGTCACACACACAGCATCACACACACAGCGTCACACCCACACACACACACAGCGTCACACACACAGCGTCGCATACACACACACAGCGTCACACACACACAGCGTCACACACACAGCATCACACACACAGCGTCACACCCACACACACACACAGCGTCACACACACAGCGTCGCACACACACACACAGCGTCACACACCCACACACACACACAGCATCGCACACACAGCGTCACACACCCACACACACACACAGCATCGCACACACATAGCGTCACACACACACACACAGCGTCACACACACAGCAACACACACAGCGTCACACACACAGCAACACACACAGCGACACACAGCGTCACACACACACAGCGTCACACACACACAGCGTCACACACCCACACAGCGTCACACACACACAGCGTCACACACACACAGCGTCACACACACACAGCGTCACACACACACAGCGTCACACACACACAGCGTCACACACACACAGCGTCACACACACACAGCGTCACACACACACAGCGACCACCACACACAGCGTCACACACACACAGCGTCACACACACACAGCGTCACACACACACAGCGTCACACACACACAGCGTCACACACACACAGCGTCACACACACACAGCGTCACACACACACAGCGTCACACACACAGCGTCACACACACACAGCGTCACACACACACAGCGTCACACACACACAGCGTCACACACACAGCGTCACACACACACAGCCCAACAGCGTCACACACACACAGCGTCACACACACAGCGTCACACCCCCCCCCCCCCCACTCCCCACTCACGCCGGTCCCCGAAGATGGAGCCGAGGACGCGCGATTTGGACTTCTTCCTCGTCGGGGGCGCGAGGGCAGCGGCTTGGAGCCATGGTGCGGCGCCGGCGCCTCCTTGCTGCCCAAGATGGTGCTCGTCATGCGCATCGCGGCGCCGGCGGCTTGTCTCCGCTCCCCGTTGTCCGACATCCTTCACACGCGCCTGCAGGGGCACGCGTGTGCGTACGTGTGTGTACGTGTGTGTGTAGTGTGTGTACGTGTGTGTGTGTGTGCGTGAGTGTAGGTGTGTGTGTGTGTGTACGTGTACGTGTGTGTGTGTGTACGTGTGTGTGTGTGCGTGTGCGTGAGTGTAGGTGTGTGTGTGTGTACGTGTGTGTGTGTACGTGTGTGTACGTGTGTGTGCGTGTGTGTGTACGTGTGTGTGTGCGTGTGTGCGTGCGTGTACGTGTGTGTGTGTACGTGTGTGTGTGTGTACGTGTGTGTGTGTGCGTGTGCGTGCGTGTGCGTGTGCGTGAGTGTAGGTGTGTGTGTGGGTGTACGTGTGGGTGTACGTGTGGGTGTGCGTGTGTGTGTGCGTGTGTGTACGTGTGTGTGCGTGAGTGCAGGTGTACGCAAGTGTGTGCGTGTGTGTGCGTGTGTGTGTGCGTGTGTGTGTGCGTGTGTGTGTGCGTGAGTGTAGGTGTACGCACGTGTGTGCGTGTATGTGCGTGTGTATGCACGGGTGTGTGTGTGTGTATCACACACAGGCACAAAGACAAAGATTCCCCCAAACGTGTTAGCTACCTGCGAGTAGCAGCGATGAAGGCCGACGCGCACTCGCACTGTGACAGACAAAACAAAGACAAAGATCCCCGTGTAGCCTGAACAGACTGTTGGGGCAAGTGCTGTCATCAAGCAGCACCTACGGAGGCCGGCACGGCACACGAGTGACAGACACACACACACAGTGACACACACACAGTGACAGACACACAGTGACACACACAGTGACACACACACAGTGACAGAGACACACAGTGACAAAGACAAAGATCCCCCGTATAGCCTTAACAGACTGTAGGGGCAAGTGCTGTTAGCGAGCACCTATGAAGGCCGGAACGGTACACGAGGGGGTGGGTGGCCAGCACCACGCCCGACCGCCTTTGTCTCCCTAGTGGCGATGTTTACACACCGCACCAGGTACTCATTTAAGGCTGAGTCGACACACAGTGACACACACAGTGACACACACAGTGACACACAGACACACACAGTGACACACACAGTGACACACACAGTGACACACACACAGTGACAGACACACACACACACAGTGATACACACAGTGACACACACAGTGACACACACACAGTGATAAAGACAAAGATCCCCCGTATAGCCTGAACAGACTGTAGGGGCAAGTGCTGTTAGCGAGCACCTATGAAGGGTGGGTGGCCAGCACCACGCCCGACCGCCTTTGTCTCCCTAGTGGCGATGTTTACACACGCGGCGTCGCTGTTTTTTGTGCCACCGGAACTGGCACCACCGACACCACCGACACCACCGGGCTGACCCGCCGCGTGTGTACAGTGCGTACAGTGCGCACAGTGCGTACAGTGTGCCGGGGAGGGGCGGGAGGTGACAGACACGGTGGGTGCCGTTCAAACCGGTTCGCCTGCCACTTTCGCCGCGGTGCCCTGCGGGGCTGGCGGAGGGGGCGGCAGTAACGGCGCCGCGTGCCTCGAATGCCACCACGAGCACCCAGCTCCAAGTGCGCAATAAACAGCGTCGCTTCTCCTCCTCGCTGTGGCATTTGCTCCTCCTCCAAGACACTGGCCGCGACCCACCGTCAACTCACTCACTCAACCACTCGTCCACTCGCTCACTCAACCACTCACTCAACCACTCGTCCACTCGCTCACTCAACCACTCGTCCACTCGCCCACTCAACCACTCACTCAACCACTCGTCCACTCGCCACTACCATTCACTCGCCCACTCAACCACTCGTCCACTCGCCCACTCAACCATTCACTCGCCCACTCAACCATTCACTCGCCCACTCAACCATTCACTCGCCCACTCAACCATTCACTCGCCCACTCGCTCACTCAACCGCTCACTCAACCACTCAACCGCTCACTCAACCATTCACTCGCTCACTCAACCATTCATTCGCTCACTCAACCATTCACTCGCCCACTCGCTCATTCAACATTCACTCGCTCATTCAACCATTCACTCGCTCATTCAATCACTCAACCGCTCACTCGCTCGCTCACTCGCCCATTCACTCGCTCACTCGCCCATTCACTCGCTCACTCGCCCATTCACTCGCTCACTCGCCCATTCACTCGCTCACTCGCCCATTCACTCGCTCACTCGACCATTCACTCGCTCACTCGACCATTCACTCGCTCACTCGACCATTCACTCACTCCTCGCTCACTCGACCATTCACTCACTCGCTCACTCGACCATTCACTCACTCGCTCACTCGACCATTCACTCACTCGCTCACTCGACCATTCACTCACTCGCTCACTCGACCATTCACTCACTCGCTCACTCGACCATTCACTCACTCGCTCACTCGACCATTCACTCACTCGCTCACTCGACCATTCACTCACTCGCTCACTCGACCATTCACTCACTCGCTCACTCGACCATTCACTCACTCGCTCACTCGACCATTCACTCACTCGCTCACTCGACCATTCACTCACTCGCTCACTCGACCATTCACTCACTCGCTCACTCGACCATTCACTCACTCGCTCACTCGACCATTCACTCACTCGCTCACTCGCCCATTCACTCACTCGCTCACTCGCCCATTCACTCACTCGCTCACTCGCCCATTCACTCACTCGCTCACTCGCCCCATTCACTCACTCGCTCACTCGCCCATTCACTCACTCGCTCACTCGCCCATTCACTCACCGCTCACTCGCCCATTCACTCGCTCACTCGCCCATTCACTCGCTCACTCGCCCATTCACTCGCTCACTCGCCCATTCACTCGCTCACTCGCCCATTCACTCGCTCACTCGACCATTCACTCGCTCACTCGACCATTCACTCGCTCACTCGCCCATTCACTCGCTCACTCGCCCATTCACTCGCTCACTCGCCCATTCACTCGCTCACTCGCCCATTCACTCGCTCACTCGCCCATTCACTCGCTCACTCGCCCATTCACTCGCTCACTCGCCCATTCACTCGCTCACTCGCCCATTCACTCGCTCACTCGCCCATTCACTCGCTCACTCGCCCATTCACTCGCTCACTCGCCCATTCACTCGCCCACTCGCCCATTCACTCGCCCACTCAACCATTCACTCGCTCACTCGCCCACTCAACCATTCACTCGCTCACTCAACCATTCACTCGCTCACTCAACCATTCGCTCGCTCACTCAACCATTCACTCGCTCACTCGCCCATTCATAGAGACCCATAGAGATACATAGAGACTCAGAGACCAATAGAGATTCAGAGACCCATAGAGATGCATAGAGACTCATAGAGGCTCATAGAGACCCATAGAGTCCAACAGAGACCAACAGAGACTCATAGAGACCCATAGAGACCAATAGAGATAGAGACTCACCAGTGGAAGTTCTGAGGTTTATAATGAACAGTGGTGAGTGGGTGAGTGAGATGGTGAAGTGTGGGTGAGATGGTGAAGTGTGTGGGTGAGTGGGTGGATGAGTGTGTGGGTGAGTGGGTGAATGGGTCAGTAAATGATTATTAGGTGAATGAGCGGGTGGGTCTCTCTGCGTGAGTCTGTGGCTCTCTATGCGAGTCTGTGGGTCTCTCTGTGTGAGTCTGTGGGTCTCTCTGTGTGAGTCTGTGGGTCTCTCTGTGTGAGTCTGTGGGTCTCTCTGTGTGAGTCTGTGGGTCTCTCTGCGCGAGTCTGTGGCTCTCTATGCGAGTCTGTGGGTCTCTCTGTGTGAGTCTGTGGGTCTCTCTGTGTGAGTCTGTGGGTCTCTCTGTGTGAGTCTATGGGTCTCTCTGCGCGAGTCTGTGGCTCTCTATGCGAGTCTGTGGATCTCTGTGTGAGTCTGTGGGTCTCTGCGCGAGTCTGTGGGTCTCTCTGCGAGTCTGTGGGTCTCTGTGTGAGTCTGTGGGTCTCTGCGCGAGTCTGTGGGTCTCTCTGCGAGTCTGTGGGTCTCTGTGTGAGTCTGTGGGTCTCTGCACGAGTCTGTGAGTCTCTCTGCGAGTCTGTGGGTCTCTGTGTGAGTCTGTGGGTCTCTGCGCGAGTCTGTGGGTCTCTATGCGAGTCTGTGGGTCTCTGTGCGAGTCTGTGGGTCTCTGTGTGAGTCTGTGGGTCTCTATGCGAGTCTGTGGGTCTCTGTGCGAGTCTGTTGGTCTCTATGCGCGAGTCTGTGGGTCTCTCTGCGAGTCTGTGGGTCTCTATGCGAGTCTGTGGGTCTCTATGCGAGTCTGTGGGTCTCTATGCGCGAGTCTGTGGGTCTCTATGCGCGAGTCTGTGGGTCTCTCTGCGAGTCTGTGGGTCTCTATGCGAGTCTGTGGGTCTCTGTGCGAGTCTGTGGGTCTCTGCGCGAGTCTGTGGCTCTCTGCATGAGTCTGTGGGTCTCTATGCGCGAGTCTGTGGGTCTCTATGCGTGAGTCTGTGGCTCTCTGCGAGTCTGTGGCTCTCTGCGCGAGTCTGTGGGTCTCTATGCGTGAGTCTGTGGCTCTCTGCGAGTCTGTGGGTCTCTGTGCGAGTCTGTGGGTCTCTATGCGCGAGTCTGTGGCTCTCTATGCGAGTCTGTGGGTCTCTCTGCGAGTCTGTGGGTCTGTGTGAGTGTGTGGGTCTCTGCGCGAGTCTGTGGGTCTCTCTGCGAGTCTGTGGGTCTCTATCCGAGTCTGTGGGTCTCTGTGCGAGTCTGTGGGTCTCTGTGTGAGTCTGTGGGTCTCTGCGCGAGTCTGTGGGTCTCTCTGCGAGTCTGTGGGTCTGTGTGAGTGTGTGGGTCTCTGCGCGAGTCTGTGGGTCTCTCTGCGAGTCTGTGGGTCTGTGTGAGTGTGTGGGTCTCTGCGCGAGTCTGTGGGTCTCTCTGCGAGTCTGTGGGTCTGTGTGAGTGTGTGG